GACAATAGTTATCAATATTACAAATGCACAGACCCTCTGACCTAACACTTCTACTTTGGGGACTTTTCCTATAGATATACTCACATGCATATGAATGAATGTATGTACAAGTTTGTAGAAATGACATGTGCACTTATATAAATCATCACAACATTGTTTATATGGCAGAAGATCAGGAACAACCTAAATATTCAATAATAGCAAACTGATTACAAAAGTTATGGAATTTCTGCAGCCAGAAAAAACAATGAGGAGGGGGGTGCCTGGCAGGCTCAGATGTCCCTATTTGGGCTTTTAAACAGGCGGTGAACTTCTTATAAATGCAAGCATACATATAATTGCTTGTGTATGAATAATGTATTCCTAAAAGATAAATAAGAATCTGGTGGATGCCTGAGGGGCTCAGTTGGTTAAGAGTCCAACTTTTGGTTTTGGCTCAGGTCATGATCTCAGGGTCGTGAGATCGAGCCCCATGTTGGGCTCCATGCTCAGTGGGGAGTCTGCTTGAGATTCTCTCTCTCCTTCTGCCCCTCCCCCTGCTCACAAGCATGTGCACACTCTCTCTCTAAAAATAAATAAATAAATCTTTAAAAAAGAATCAGGTAACATGGGTTACCTCTGAGAAAGGAAACTGGTGATTAAGGACAGGGGTAGAAGGGAGATTTTTTACTTCTCAGATTTTGAACCATATGAATATATTGTCCATATTCCAATTCTATACACACACACACATAAGTATATGTATATATAAATTTAGATCTCACTTGGCATAACCCATTAATGACTTTATCTACAAATATCTTGGAAGTCCTACCATGTGCCACGCAGTGTACAAGGTGATGAGTATACAGTGGTGAACAAGTCAGCCTTACTGAACTGATACTCCAGGAAGACAGACATCGAGAGGTAAGCCTATTAGTCTAGAACCACATTCTCCAGTAAGTTCATTGAAGGGAGAGCAGCCAGTGCTGGGAGAGAAGGTGGTGGGGTAGGACCTGATTTAGAAAGGGAAGCGAGGGAAAGCCCCTCTAAAGAAGAGATCCTTAGACTGAGTAGGAATTAGCTAAGTTTTATTTGAAAGGCTGCAGGCTCGAAACAACAACCATTTTATTATTTCTCATGAATGTTAGGGTCAGAAATTCAGGCAGGACTGGACTGGGCAGTTAAAGCAGTCACAGACCCACACACACTCAAGGGGAGGGCACAGGGACCCCATGAGAGGAGCCTCAGAGTTTCCAGCCAGCTTTAACCCACCACACCAGGCCAAGGGGCTGTGGTCGGGTGGAGCACAGGGAGCGTGCAGTAAGGAGAAGGTGGAGAGAGAAGGCCGGAAGTAAGTAACGTCCTATAGAGCCTCGCAAGTTTTGTTAAGGATTTTACATTTTCTTCTCCGTACAATGTGAAGACATTGAGGAGTTTTAGGCAAGGAACTTAACTGTTCCCCTCGTGCTTCTGAAGCTAACGCTTATAGTTTATAGCTTCTGTTCCTGTTTTCACACCCATTTCATTCACTTAGTTTGGCAGAGGTTGGGATACCTTTGTATTCTTCTCACTGCAAACTCTCAGCAAAATAAATGAGAAATACATAAATGAATTGGTTAAATAATTGACCATCGAAAACAGCTATAATTGTAGGGCATCAGTTTAGTGATTCTCAAATTTTAATGTGTCTGTGAATTCCTGGGGGATCTTATTAATATGCAGGTTCTGATTCAGTAGGTCTGGGGTGACCTGAAATTCTGTATTTCTTTTTTTTTTCTTTTTAAGATTTTATTTATTTATTTGACAGAGAGAGAGACAGCGAGAGCAGGAACACAAGTAGGGGGAGTGGGAGAGGGAGAAGCAGGCTTCCTGACTAGCAGGGAGCCTGATGCGGGGCTCGATCCCAGGCCCCTGGGATCATGACCTGAGCTGAAGGCAGACACTTAACGACTGAGCCACCCAGGCGCCCTGAAATTCTGCATTTCTAACAAGCTGCTGCGCTACATTTCATACTTTGAGTAGTGAGTGTTTAGAAATCATCATATCTCAGGGGCAGCTGGGTGGCTCAGTTGAGCGTCTGCCTTCTGCTCAGGTCATGATCCGGGGGTCCTGGGATCGAGCCCCGCATTGGGCTCCCTGCTCAGCGGGAAGCCTGCTTCTCCCTCTGCCCTCCC